CTTCCACTGCTGCCTCTTTAGAGGAGCAGGCCAGCAGCTGGGAAAGGGGATTTGAAAGGAGCTGGCTGGACTCTGTGCTGGTACAGTGGCAGTCATCAGCTTTTCAGTTCTCCAGGGCATGGGAGTGACCTGGCCTCAGTGTGTAGGAGACTGTACCGCCCTCATGAGATCATGGCATCAGAGATGGTGCCGCAGTGTGGGCTGTCTGGTTTGACTTCAGTCTGAATCAGGTGAAGGGGCTTGGTGGGAGGGATCTTCAGTGCCCTAAGAAATATAAAGGTGAGTTTCTGTCTCTGTAAGGCCCAGTTGCAGAGAACCACAGAGAGGAGATAGCTGTGTGACAAAAACACTTGGTAGAGACAGACACTCACCCTAGCATTCCCTGAACTCCTGGGATGTGCCGGGCACAGTCATAGGTGGTAAAGGGACAAAGGTAAATCCTCATGGGAGACCACTCGCTAGGATTTACTTCAACTTGGGGAAGAGGCACAGTGTAAAAAGCAATGACAGTTCTGTGGCTGATGAGAAGAAAGTGATAGTGTTTAACAGGACAGCATTAGCATAGTGAGAAAGGATGGTGTAGGCTACATAGTCCAAGCAGAAAATCTTGAAGGTGGATTGCCAGCGTGCCAAGGTGAGGGAGGTATTCATTTCATGACCTTGTTTGCAGAGGAGCTGGGTGAAATGCTGGGTAGCTGACTGTTAAGCTGGGCAGCGTAAGAGAGAAGAAGGAGAGCTCAGAGGTAGCCCAGGAGAGCTTTGTCTCCGGTTGAATGAGAAAGTTCAGGAAGAGATTCTCAACCTGTTAAATCCTTCAGCAGCAATTACTGCCCTTTCTGTGGGCCTCCATTAAATGCTTATTGATGAGCAGTCTTTCCCAATAGCAAACATCTCCCGTACTTGCTAAACATTATTAGATGACATGGGCAGATGGAGCTTTTTGGTCGCATACATCCTGACTTGTGTCTGATGAGGTTTGCACATATACCTAAATTCAGTTTATTCTCCTAGTGAACCCCTGGGGTGAGTCCATTTCAACCCTAGCTTTGAATTCCTCTGCCTTTGCTTGGGAAGGTCCTTAGTTGAAGTCAGCTGCAGCATACAGATGGTGGTGTGCACTGCCCTCATTACTGGGCCTGGAATGTGTGTGCGCTGGGTGTCCCAGCCTGAGATATGCCTGGGAAAGCATGAGAGGCAAGCCATGGAAGAGAGGCAAGGCACGTAATACAGGTCATTTAGTCTTCTCAACATCACACTTCACTGCACCGATGCCGCCATTCAAACATTCTAATTTATAGTTTATGGAAACTTTTGGAAAAATGGATCACAACCCAGGTTACCTGAGGTGCTGCAGCTGCGAGTTTCAACAGCTCTAAAAATTTAGGTTTTTGTCAAAATGAAACAGAACATTGAAAGACTTCAAAATAGCTGTGGAAAACAGCCACCCTCTTCAGATGCACTCAGCAGGAGACTGCTCTTGTGAATAGCTCAGCAGACTCTGCAAATAATATCTCAGTAAACCCTGCACTGGCACTCCAGGAAGAAGCTAGTGGCAGTTCAGCAGCCCCTACTGCTTTTTTTCACACGCAACAAGAGGGAATGTTAACTGCTGCTTTGAATGAAGCTTGGAGAGCCAGGGCTAAGCCTAGGCTGAGTGCCTACATCTTCACACTATAGCTCCAAGTACATCCACAACAGCTACTCTGTGCATTAAGCCTGTCCTCTGCAGATGGCAGGTCTGCTGTCCAGCTGGCCAGTACCCTGCTTCAGCCTCTACTGAGCCCTGCTCTGGGCCAGTCGCTGCTTATAGTTGAGATCTAGAGACAAAGAAAACACCATCCATGCCCTCATGTGGCTTTCTGACTGGGGTGTAGGAAACACACATGGGCATTTTTTTCAATAGACTATGGCATGTGATTTATTGGAGATAAATGAGAGATCACCTGATCCAATGTAGATGTCATAGATGCCATCTGAGCAGCTTTCTATACACTCAGGTTCCAGAGAGTTGTATCCCTAACTCTGTGCCTGCCGCTGCAGGTTAACTGATCCAGTGCCCAAGCCCCTTTTCCTTGACACTTCTGCCTGGAAAAGTTTGGAGGCTGAATAGCTGCCTGTCCAGACTTCCTTGTAGCTCTGGCCAATGAGGCAAAAGCACAATGAGCCTCCACAGTGAGGCTTCTGAAACAGTGCTTGTGTTCTGACTGAGAGGGACAGCCAGTTTAGTAGAGCTCCTTGCTCCTTTGGTATGCAGTGATTCAGATCTGATGGCAGTAGCTTCAGCAGTAATCTTGTGACTATAAGGGAAAAGTTCAGAGCTTTCAGCCATGATCATCTGTCTACTTCTACACTTTTTGTTTTATGACAAACAAAGGGACACTATTTATACTTCTGGGATTTAGAGCCAAATGCATCCCTAACTGCTACAGAACCTCGCAGGCAGTCAATAAATAGTGATTGAAATCATAAATAATGTGATCATCTGAGTTAAATCTCAAGGGATGTTCTGGTTGGGGGAAACCAAAATAACACACATGGGAGCTCAAAGCAGGAGGCCAGGGATAGCTTACAGAGAAAGTATTGGAAAATATTCATTGTTGTTGCGGTATAAAGTAGGAGGCAGTGACTGGAGATAAGCCTGGAAAATAGATGACAGAGACTAGGTTAAAACTTTGTTTTGAGCCAGATGTGGTGGTGCACTCTGGAAGGCTAAGGCAGGAGGATCACAAGTTCAATCCCAACCTAGCCAGCTTAGCAACTGAGTGACCCTGTCTCAATATAAAATAAAATAAACAGAGCTGAGAATATCATTCAGTACAAAGGCCCTGGGTTCAGCACCACCTTAGATACAGAGATGGTCTCTAATCCCAGCGATCTGAGAACTCTCCCTTTTGCCTCCAAACAGTGTAATTGCAACCAAGACCACCAAGGCAACAGGTATATGAATACCACCTATTGGTGACTGTGTTATGTTACCTTTTCTGTGTGACAAATTACCCCCAAACTGTAACAGCTTAAAACAACACACTTGTTTATTATTTGTATCCTTTATCTCCGATTATTTCACGGTTTCTGTGGGTAAGGAATCCAGATATAGCAAGCTAGCTTTTCTGGCTCAGTCTCACCCAGCTGGGACCGGTGCTCACAGGGCGGCTCCATCCTCTGAAATCGTGAGCTCAAGGAGGTCTGCTTCCACACTCATACACCGTGGTCAGCCAGTTCCAGCTCTCCTGGTTTGGCCAACAAGGCCTCCCTTGGTCCTGTTCCCTGTGGACCTTGGCTTTGTTAGCATGAGAAAGAAAGCAGGTGAAGCTTTCTTCACCTTCAAGAGGTAAGCCAGACTTTGTGTAGCTTCATCTCAGAGGTGATGTCCCAACATTTCATATTCATTAGAATCAGGTCCCTAGGTGAAGTCTGCACTGAAGGGGAAGGATGGCGGCTGACTGCTAGATGGCAAACATCACTAGGTGCCATCTTAAACCCCCTGCCACAGATACACTGCTGTCTTCTCCTTTGTCAGGGTCATTTTGCAGATGAGGAAACTGAGGCTCAGAGAAGAGATGTGGCTTGTCCTAGATATCACAGCCACCAGACAGCAGAAGTGGAGGTCAGAGCAGCCGGTCTCCAGTGCAGCTCTTCCCCACCACCTCCAGGGGGCGTGCTGGAGGCAGGAGAGCCAGAGTGAGGGTATGCCCTCCCCCTGAGTGCTCTGATCCCTGGTGAAATGCAGTGGATGAAATCACAATAAGATATATTATCTAAATAGTCCTGTAACAGGGTTAATTACCTGATCCTAATCATTGTTTTATAGTTGTATAAGAAAATGTTTTGTTCTTGAGAAACACATTCTGAAGTATTCAGAGTTAAAGAGATATTGTGTCTATAATTTATGCTCAAACACTTTAGGGAAAATTACTCATAGAATTTATAGGTGTGTGTGTGTGTGTGTGTGTGTGTGTGTGTGCACATGCGCAGGAAAAATGAATGGTCAAGCAAGTGTGTTTAAATGTTAACATTTGGAGAATACGAGTAAAGAATATATTCTAATTATTTGTACATGCTTTTTGTAACTTTTTAAAAATTTTTATTTAAAGAAAAAACAAAACAGAAAAAGGGTAGAAATAATACATAATTTCAAAAAAATTAAACAGTAAGAAATCACTAGTTGATAAATTACATACTGTCATCTTAGAAATAGTTATTCAAGTTGCAAAATTAAAGCATACAAAGTGGACATTCAAACAGTGAGACCAAACAGTTCTGTTTAATGATCCAACAAAAACTCAGTAATATGGTTATCAATCTTACATACTTAAACATCCATGCAATTATATCCTTTAGAGCACTTTCTTTTCCTCTCTTTTTTACAATAACAATTACACATTTTGTGTTTTATTTTGATTTTATTACTCTTCCATTTATTACTTTTACACTAGAGACACAATGTGGTATTTATAAATATGATTCTTTTTTATTTCACTAATGAGGATAGCCTCAAGTTGTCTCCATTTGCCTATGAAGGCCTCAAGATCATCCTTTTTTATAGCTGAGTATGTGTCTAAAATTATATCAAAATGAAAGATTTTTCAAAAGTGCTATCTACTCTGAGACCCTGGTGAATTCTATGTGGACCATGGAAGTGGCATGATGGGAATCTTACAGATTCCTTTTGACCTCAAGCTAACCCATTAGAACCCAGAAAGGGTGCAGAGCTTAAGAGCAGAACGTGGGCTTTGAGGTCTGCTGAGTTCCAGTCCTGGCCCAGAAGGTTCTAACGTCACCACTTGGAGCTGTTGAGAAGATTTTGCAAAAGGAAGCGCATACCTCGACAGCGCTTAGCACAGTCCCTGCCCACAGTGGTCTTCCCATCGATGCTATATTCCTGCTGCTTCTGCAGTCATCTTTCAAAGTGTAGTGAGTCACCACGGTTTGGTTTAGAGACACCAATCTGGACAGCTGCCATTGAACCAGATCCCTGACATGAGTTTTTGTCTTCACAGAGGCAGGGTGGCCACTGCAGGGAACGTCGATGTGCCTGACAAGATGAAGAACCGAATACCTGTGGTGCTTCTGGCCTGTGGCTCCTTCAACCCCATCACCAATATGCACCTGCGCTTGTTTGAGGTGGCTAGAGATCATCTGCACAAAACAGGTCAGTCAGGCCCCCAGGACAGCAGACCGGGTGATTGGGCCTCCTGGGGCTGAGCTGGCCACTGTGCTCTTCACTGGCAGTAAAACTTTGCTGACCCATTTATCTCGAAGCTTGTGGTACACATTCTCTCCATGATGTGCAGAGTGTTGATGCCATCTAGCTCTGTGACATCTGCAAGTCACGTCCCTGGCCATAGATGCCCCTTTTCTCTGCCCACCTCACACTGTCTATGAAGACTGAAAAGACAGCAGGCCATTTGTGGCACTTTTTGTCTCAGTCCTCCCTCTAGTGCTCCATCTTCACTGCCAGGTGAGTAAGTACTACGCACCTCTGAAAGCTCTGCTCTTCCTCAGTGGGTAAGCAAGTGTTTGGTGGTGATTTTGACATTTTCACCTTTTGAAGAATAGATCTCAGCAGTTGTAAACTAATAATCTTGTATATGGGACTTTTACAATATTGGGAAATGTTTCATCACCTTGACTATTTCATTATTTAGTAGGTAAAACAGTATTTAGAATTTGTGTGATTATTTCTAAAAATTAAAACTTATACTGCATGTTGATGCCAAATATTTATGAAAATTTTTCCTCACTGTGAATTTGTGTATCATATGTATTCATGAATATATTTTATATAACTCAAAATTTTTTGCCTTTAAAAGCATTGTTTTCACATCAGAATCAATTTCTATTTATGTTTATTAGAGAAAGAAGTATTTGAGTCGATGTAAATCATTTCCTCAGAGAAGTCACATACAAGGGTTAATTATTATAGAGGAAATGCATATGTTTGCAGAACTTTTTAATTATTGAAAAAATGAAAATGAATGTCTATTCTTAATAATAGTTTCTTACTAGAGAATTTTTAAAAATCTGAATAATACAGTTAGAATTTTTCAGTGGCTCATAGTAGAAGAAGAAATACAAATAGTAAACTTGGGACAGATACCCCACATCAATGGAAATCAATGGCAATGTAAATAAAAACATGGCAGATACCACAAGGCCCTAAACACCATGAGGGCAGCTACTGTAGCTGTGTGAACACCACAGAATTGTCACCTGTCACTGGCTGATAGTTGGTCTCCAGCAGGCATCAGTTACAGGAGTCAAGAGACCAAGAGACTTCAGTGCTCCTAGAATGGGGAGGGAGCCAACCACTCTCACCTGCTGGTGGTGGAAAGATAAACTATAAAGCATTTTTGGAAGACAGTTTGATGTTCTGTGACACAAGGTTTTGAATCTGTAGCCACACTCATAATGAGAAGAAAAATCAATCAACGGAAACTAGACCAGAACTGACAAAGGATGACACAGATGTTAGAACCAGCAAAGTGATGAGTACTTACAGTTATGCCCCATATGTTCAAAAAGATAATAGAGACGTGGAAAGCTTAAAAGGGACCCATATCAAACTTCTAGAGATGTGAGATGAAAAATATACTGGATATATTGGACAGGTTGGACATTCTAGGAGAAAAAGTCAGTGAACATGAAGATAAAACCAAGGAACTATCCAAAATGGAATACAGAAAGAAAAATTTTAAAACAGAAAAAAATAGCAGTGATATGTGTTAGTTTTACACAGCTTTGTACATGTGTCAGTGGAATCACAAGAGGAAAAGCAAAAGGAGAGAGAGAGAAATTTTTTTCAAAGAATGACTGATGTTTTTCCAGAGTTGATGAAAATGACTCACTGATCCAAGTAGCGCCACAAACTTGGACCACAAGAAGCACGAGGGAAACAATAACAGGGTCTATAGTAATCAAATTTAGCAAAACCTAAAATAAGGCAAAATTTTAAAAACAACCATCAAAAACAGATGTAAGGAGGACGACAGCAAATTTCTGGTTTCTGCCTTCACTGAAAGAGAACTCTGAAATAACATCTTTAAGGAACTGAAAGAAAAACTGTCAACCTAGAAAGCTGTATTCATCCTGTAGGTAAAATATCTTCTGTTCAGTAAAAAAATGTTTAGAAAGAAAATAGGATAATTTAAAAATATACAGTTTGATTATATTTGAATTATTATGAGGTTTTCTTCAGATATGATAAGCCATGACTTTTTGATGCACAATGTTTAGAAAAAGCAAACAAATATTTTTACATAAACAAGAGCTAGTATCAAACCTGCACTCAAGAAAGAAGAAGTTAATAGGCTGATTCATTGAGGCAGAGGAAAGTGATGAAGGAAATAGAGACTTAGATCAACAAAGAGAACTGAGAACACTGGAACTGTTAACCAGGTGGGGTATAACGGAGGATTATAAAGGCTTTTTCCTTATTATTTAAATTTATTTAAAAGATAATTGGCAGTTTAAGTAAGAATTATACTGGGAGATTGTAACATATATGGTAGTCAAATACATGAAAGAATAGCATATAGGCTGGGAGAGGCAGGGAACTATATTATATATAAAATGATGTAATATCATTTGAAGGTAAGCTGTAATAAGCTAAATATGTATGTATATATTATAAACCCCCAAATAATGAAACAAACAGTTACAGTTAATAAACATATAAGAGAAATAAAATAGATTTAGAATATACTCAGTTAATTCAAAAGAGGGAACAAAAAATAGATGGGACAAATAGCAAATAAGATGAGAGGCTTAGTCCTGTTAGTAATCACATTAAATACAAGGAGTCCAGTGATTTCCAGTAAATGAAGGATTGTCAGATTGAATGAAGTGAGAAAGACTTGGCCATGCACAGTCGTCTCCTTGTCTGCTGGGAATTTGCTCCAAGGCCACCAGTGGATGCCTGAACCAAACTCTGTACTGTGTACACACTGATGATAAAGATTAATTTATAAACTAGGCATAATAAGAGATTAACGACAACTCATGAAAAGTGAAACAACTATAACAATACACTATAACACAAATTATTATTTAAGATTTATGAGTTGTTTCTTGAATTTTTCCATTCAACATTTTAGTCAGAGTTGACCTGAAGTAACGGAAACTGCAGAAAACAAAATTACAGATAAAGCAGGACTGTGTATAAGTAGTTTTCTTTAAATATGAAAACACAAATAGCTTTAAAAAAAAAGAGAACAGAAATTTCTCTCATGCTGACACTAATTAAAAGAAAGCTGGAGTAGCTTATTAGAGAAAAGAGATTTGGAGGAAAGAACTTTCCCAGCGATTCATTTCATAAATATAAACTTATAAACCTAGATTCAGAAATATTAAAGTATTTGAAAACTAATCCAACAATGCATACAAAGATAATATTTCATCACCACGTAAGATCATCTTAGAGATGTAAGTATAGCTTAACATTGAAAAATTAATCATGTAATTCAATGTATTAACCAACTAAAGAACAAAACCACTATAGTTTTAATAGTAGACACAGGAAAGACAATTACCAAAAGTGATCAATCCATTATGGGAAAAAAAAAAAAAACCTCAGAAAGATAGCAATAGAAAAAACCTCCTTAACACATGAAAAATCTTACTAATGTTGAAAGACTTCCTGATCCCAAGAGAAAAAGAAGAATTTTCATGTCAGCCATGGCGGCACCCCCTGGTAACCCTAACAGTGGGGAAGGCTAGACAAGAGGATCTCCGTGAATTCCAGGCCAGCCTGAGCCACATAGTGATCAAGGCAGCCTGGAGTACAGGGAGACCTTGTCTCCCTTCGGTTGGTGTATTCGCTAAAACAACTCACAATTATAATTAGATATTGCATGCAAATAAATTAAACTTTAAAAGCTGCATCAACTTGTATACTATGTTTAGGTGGAAATTGACGGTGTCTTCCTATTTTGCTATAATAGCTCTGATTCTCTTTTTGCTTGAAACTCTTTCGCACAAGTAGCCCTTTTTCAAACTACAACTGCTTTTCCTTCCTCTTTTTCCTTTCCCCTGACACAGGAGCAAAACCTTGAAAATTGACAGAGGCACTGTATCAAAACTTTTTATTATCTTGAGTCTTACAATAACACCCTCCTTGTAGTGAAAAGTGCATACATTAAAAAGAAAAGTACATGTGTCAGTTTTCATTGCTAATAATCTACTGCCAAGGTCGTACGTGCTCAGCAGATAAAGCATTGCGTGCAGCTTTTTATTTTCACACTCTTTTACTTGAAAGGATATTTAGGAATAAGACAAGGGCAGATACAAGTGAGTAGTACCCATGAGTTTTCTGAACTCTGTGATGTGGCCCTGTAATCACAGGCACATCCTTCCCGCAGCATGTGCTCTGTGGGCACTTAGAGAGAAGATTCGCAAATGCTTGACAGATGAATTTGTATAGTGAGTGCTGATGGTTTTTAAAAGTTCATTTGGGATTTTTATTTTTGTTTTACTGAGTTTTGGCAGAAATTATTCTGTCCAACACATAACTAGTCGATAGCTTCAAACGTACCTAAAGCACTCATTGAATATATTTAGAATTCAAGCCTGCATTTCTTTTAAGGTGTTGGATGTATTCCCAGTTGTAAGAGATTGTTTTCCCAACATGCAGTCACAAACTTACTAATGGAGGCTGAATTAAATTCAAATTTTGTTTTATGCTATTTAGATGGTTTGTTATTTCTGATCAATGTAATTTGGCTATTGGCATGTATTTCAACAACAACCCACTTGTATTCCTTTCTTAAAATCAAATTTTGTCAGATTAATTAGCACTCATTCATTTGACAGCTAATTAGCACCTGTTCATTTTACGCATCTATCATGTATTTCTACCATCCTTCCTATTCTCCAGTTGGTATTCTAAGTGCATTTAATCTTCATAACACCTTACAAGGTGGATATGGTTCTGTGTGCTACAGATGAGGAGGCTGAGGCCAAGGCTTAGGCAAATAGAATCAGTAACCTGGCTGAGCTCATTCAAGAAGTGATAGAGCTGGCCTCCTTCATTGCCTGTCCCCCTAACCAAAATGTCATGCTATCTCCATTCATTCAACACATGTCTTGAATAGTCTGTCTGTCTGTCTGGATGCTGTATGAGATGCCAGGACACATGGGAGCAAAAGTATCTCT